GGCCATCTTGGAATCTCGGAGGCTCTCTGGGAGCCATCTTCGGCCATCTGGGACGCTTCAACGCCTCACGAAACCCTCCAGGTCGAGGGGAGTGGGCAGGGGGCGGGGTAAACCCTTCCCTGAAGGGGAAGAAGGGGGTTGGAAGAGAAACCGCCCTAGACCACCTACGCCCAGAGGGCTGGTGGGTTTTCCGCCCTACTGTTCGGAATCCTTTGATGCCGATGTCCGCCTTAACTACGTTGCCGTCGCTGTCTCCGCAATGCCTTTTATGAAAATAGCCGCATTATTTTTCTGAGGTGGGAATTTCACCCCGCTATGTAGCATATTGTTTGGGGAGCATTTCCGACACATTTACTAGTCGGAAAATACCAACGTACAGCGGATCTGGAGTCAGGGTCAGGCAGTGCATTTGTTGCCACATTGGGCGTTTGTGCTCAGGTTCGGGCCCTGGGATTATCACAGATCGATGTGCGAAACATAAGCCATGCGCCAAAACGCGCGTGGGCAAGGAACATAATAGCTACACTCCGAATACGTGCAAGAGCAGACGATTACATGCCAAAAGCGTGCCCAAGTGCCCTGGACGCGCCAAATGCGCGCGGAGAAGGAGGAAGAGGATGAGCACACGATTGCACGCCAAACGCGCATCCAAGCGGCTTGGACTCGCCAAATGCGCGCCGAGAGGACGAAGGGAGAAGGAGGAAGAGGAAAAGGAGGAGGAGGAGGAGAATGAGGAACGTGCAGCAGAAATATGGATAAGGTCTAGGGCTCGGGGTCGTGACCTTTCGCGATGTTATTATTTTCCGGCAACGTCGGATCTCGCGCTGCTGGCTCCCCTGCAGCGACGGCCCCGCCAGTCGTCGGGGCCGCCGCCGCCGCCACCGCCGCCGTCGTCGTCGTGGTCGTCGTCGTCGTCGTCGTTGTCGGCGTCGTCGTCGTCGGCGTCGGCGTCGGCGTCGGCGTCCTTGGCGTCGGCATCGGCGTCGGCGTCGGCGGCGGCGGCGTCGGCCTCGGCGTCGGGGCCGCCGCCGCCGCCACCGCCGCCGCCGTCGTTGTCGGCGGCGTCGTCGTCGTCGTCGTCGTCGGCGTCGGCATCGGCGTCGGCGTCGGCGTCGGCGTCGGCGTCGGCGTCGGCGTCGGCGTACGCGTCGGCGTCGGCGTCGGCGTCGGCGTACGCGTCGGCGTCTGCGTCGGCATCGACGTCGGCGGCGGCGTCGGCGTCGGCGTTGTCGGCGTCGGCGTCGGCGTCGGCGTCGAATCGGTTTCTGCGTCGCGTCGCGTCGTCGTCGCCGTCGGCGTCGTCGGCGTCGGCGTCGGCGGCGTCGTCGTCAGCGTCGGCGTCGGGTCGACGGCGGCGTCGCCGTCGGCGTCGCCGTTCTCGGCGTCGGCGGCGGCATCGCGTCCTCGGCGTCCTCGGCGTCGCGTCTGCGTCGGCTCTGGCGTCGGCGACGGCGTCGGCATCGGCCTGGGCGTCGGCAATCGGCGTCGGCTGCGGCGGCGGCGTCGGCGTCGTCGTCGTCGGCGTCGGCGTCGGCGTCGGCGTCGGCGTTCGGCGGCGTCGGCGTCGGCGTTCGGCGTCGGCGTCGTTCGCGTTGGCGTCGGCGTCCTCGGCGTCGGCATCGGCGTCGGCGTCGGCGTCGGCGTCCTCGGCGTCGGCATCGGCGTCGGCGTCGGCGGCGGCGGCGTCGGCCTCGGCGTCGGGGCCGCCGCCGCCGCACCACGCCGCCGCCACCGCCGCCGCCGTCGTTGTCGGCGGCGTCGTCGTCGTCGGCGTCGGCGTCGGCATCGGCGTCGGCGTCGGCGTCGGCCGGGCGGCCTCGGCGTCGGCGTCGGCGTCGTCGGCGTCGGCGTCGGCGTCGGCGCGTCGTCGGCTTCGGCGGAGGCGGCGGCGTCGGCGTCGTCGGCGTCGGCTCGGCGTCGGCGTCGTCGGCGTCGGCGTCGGCGTCGGCGTCGCGTCGGCGTCGGCTCTGGCGTCGGCTCGGCTGGCGTCGGCGTCGGCGTCGGCGTCGGCGTCGGCGTCGGCATCGTCGGCGTCGGCGTCGGCGTCGGCGTCCTCGGCGTCGGCATCGGCGTCGGCGGCGGCGGCGGCGGCGGCGGCCTCGGCCTCGGCGTCGGCGTCGGGGTCGCCGCCGCCGCCATCGCCGCCGCCGTCGTCGTCGGCGGCGTCGTCGTCGTCGGCGTCGGCGTCGGCATCGGCGTCGGTGTCGGCGTCGGCTCTGTCGTCGGCGTCGGCCTCGGCCTCGGCGTCGGCGTCGGCCTCGGCGGCGTCGGCGTCGGCGGCGTCGGCGTCGGCGTCGTCAGCGTCGTTGTCGGCGTCGCCGTCGTCTCAGGGGAAGGGAGGACGCGAGAGGGGCGAGCTGGCAGGAGCAGGCGGCGACCCCTCCGGAGAGGCCAGGGGGTGCTTCTCGGCGGAGTCCTCTGGCCTTATTGGGGGGCCTCCCCAGAGCATCCCCGGAGGCGCCCCTCCCTGCCCCTTTGAGGGCTGAGGCGGCTGCGGGGGGTTCCCAGACGGCAACCTCGGGGTGGCGGGCTTTTTCTCTCCTCTCCGCCCCTCCTTCTGTGGCGCGCTGTGCTTCGCAAATCGTCACAAAAACGCCCCCGGAGCATCCCAAGAGCCGCTCCAAGAGTCAAGGAAGGAAAAACCACCCTGACCCGATGATTGGCGTTTGCGACATGGTCCTGGGGGCGCTTGCAGATCAGCCCTGCCCTGTTCGGTTCCTTCCTTGGGTGCGCTTGCTGCCTGCATGGCCTCGCTTGCCGGGATGCTTAGTGTGAGGGTGGATTCCCAGACTCCCCACGTAGTGTTTTTTCACAACGTCGTAATTTTTTGCACAGCGTCGACCCCCAGAGGTCGAGGTCTTCACAACGTCGACCCCAGAGGTCGTGATTTGTTCGTAACGTCGACCCCCCAGAGGTCGTGATTTTTTCGCAACGTCGACCCTCACAGGTTTTGATGTTTTCGCAAGGTCGACCTCTTCTCCCGGACCTGTTTTGCATCCTGAGTCGTTTTTTGACAGTCCCGGGGCCCGGCACGGGTCCTCTGGAGGCCGAACGTAGCGATAAGTTTCCCGTCGTGTTTTTTGTCACAACGCGCGGGGGATTGGGTTTTCTGCTCTCTAAAGGGAGGACGAGGCCGCCCTGAGGAGAGGAGGGAGATAGAGGCAGCACCACCAGCACTTCTTCCACCAGGAGCTGGAGGGCGAGACCAGTCGAGGCTATCACCTTCGGGTGACGGATGATGGAGTTTCATCTCCACATCTTCTTTGTGGTGTACTTCACCACCAGCACTCGTGCTGAACATAGTTGAGCCTGCGCCTCTCTTTCTTCCCCTACTTGCTTAAGTACTGACCGTTTACGACAGTCGTCAGCATGGATCTTCATCATCAGCTCATCAGCATCATCATCAACATCATCAGTTCTAGGATGCGGCAGCGTCACGTGTGAGCGGGCCGATATAGATAACCCCCCTCCCCGTTAGGCGCACGGGGCTCTGTGCAATGTTCTGTTGCACGCCATTGGCTTGGGTGGGCCCAACGGCAGGGGGCGGGGGGCCATGTTCCGATCCCTTAATATTAATATAATCGCCAAACGGTGTAGAAACAGGAAGATGCCACCACTGTATATAAATCCACACGCGTGGGACACTTTGGGATTTTCTGGTGCGAACCGGAAACAATCCGGTTCGCACTGGAAACTTCCTGACGGATGCGTCGAACGCATTGTTTTTTCAGATGGACGGGCCGTTCCGGTGAAACGGAATATTTCCCTACCTAGGCTCTGCCTAGAGGGTTCTTACTCTCTTAGCTTAAAGGGGCCGGGCAGTGCTACACGCCCCGGGCGGTTCCCCCGGTCCCCGCCCCGCGGTTCCCCCAGTCGCGTCCCCTTAGCTTGGCTTAGCTTATCTCGTCTTAGCTTAGCTTAGCTTGGCTTAGCTTAGCTTAGCTTAGCTTGGCTTAGCTTAGCTTAGCTTAGCTTAGCCTAGCTTAGCTTAGCCTAATGTAGCTTAGCGTCGCATAGCATAGCATAGCATGGCATAGCATAGCACAGCATAGCATAACATAGCACAGTATTGCATAGCATAGCTTAGCATAGCTTAGCATAGCGCCCCCTTAGCTTGGCTTAGCTTATCTAGTCTTAGCTTAGCTTGGCTTATTTTAGCTTAGCTTTAGCTTAGCTTGGGCTTAACATTAGCTTAGCTTTAGCGTAGCTTTAGCTTAGCTTTAACTTAGCTTCAACTTAGCTGTAGTTTAGCTTTAGCTTAGCGTCAGCTTAGCTTCAGCTTAGCTTTAGCTTAGCTTTAGCTTAGCTTTAATTTAGCTTCAGCTTAGCTTTAGCTTAGCTTCAGCTTAGCTTTAGCTCAGCTTTAGCTTGGCTTTGGCGTTAGCTTAGCTTTAGCTTAGCTTTAGCTTAACTTTAGCTTAGACTTACAGTTACTAATGCTGCTTTCCTAGGGGCTCCAACTCCTAGGTAGGGTCGCACTGGGATAATTTCATAGCTTGTGAAGAGGCCATAGAATGCCACCAGAGTATATTGATTCATACATGGGTGGCATTGTGGCCTTTTCTGGCGCACCGGAAAAAATCAAGCCCGCGCCGGAAAATCAACATCAGGCGTGTGCAATACATTGTCTTTTCACGGGGACGGCCTGCTTTGGTGCATCGGAAGATAGGACGGGATAGTCACATTCGTCGAACTTTTCTTGGGTACGACGTCGGGTACCCTGCGGGCGATCGGTCGATTAGGAGGTTGGGACATGGGAAACACGACACCGATTCCTCGTCGGGGGTGGATTTGCGATCGCGGCCTCGACGCTGGCATATCGCAGGACACGTCGCCGTCGTCGCAGCAGGGTCCGATTGCCACATTCGCGAAAACTGTTGTAGACGGCTCGTGGCTACTTGGACCCCCTGCTCTCTGAAGGGAGGCGCTCCCTGCACTCCCGTGGACGGCCTCTATTCCCCCCCCCGCCCCGCTCGCCCTCTTCTTGCGCGCCGCGGCAGGACTGTGGCTGCCCCGGCAGCTTCCTCCAGTCCTGGTGCAGCGAGGACCGGCCGGGGCAAGCCCGGCCTGGCCGCTACCCCCATGGCCTTAAGCCGGGAATGTCCTTCAGGAGGAAAATTACACCAGGGAGAACCCAATCAGTGGATGGTTTTCGCTGAGGAGATCGCTGAGGCCGCTGACGAGATCGACCGCAAACCCGGAGCCCGGGAACCCAGAACCCACCGAAATCGGACCAGAACCAATCACCGGGAACCCGGGAGCCCAGAACCGGGAACCCGGGAAAACAGCCTACTACCAAAATCGGCGGGAAATTTTCGCCAAATCTTTCAACTTCCGCCAGGACCCCTTCAGTGCAAGCATTGATTGGGGAATGATACTATTCAAGCAGAGTTTAAAAAACTCTGGCGACGATTCTTCGCGCTCTTTTTGGCGATTGTTTTACCTTTCTTCCAAAAGCCGCCTGGAGGAGGACATGCCCGACCTGAGGCCAGCGCTGCCATGCCCCGGGCTGCTCGTACGGAGTGGGGTCTCTGGAGAATTGTCGTGGGCGGCCACGAGGGGGGTGATGACAAGGGGGGTCTTCCTCTTCCTCCTCCTCCAACTCCTGTCGCTCCTCCTCCTCCTCCTCCTCATCCTCCTCCAACTCCTTCTCCTGCTCCACCTCCTCCTCCACCACCTCCTCCTCCTCCTTCTCCTGCTCCTCCTCCTCCTCCACCTCCTCCTCCTGCTCCTCCTCCTCCTCTTGCTGCTCCTCCTCGCTTGCGGGCTCTCGGGAGGTAGGTCCCCCGTCTCGCCCACATGCGTTGCACTTCCGTTGCCATGTGCCCAAGGGGGGGGTTAGCCTGCGCCCGCTCAGCCGCGCTCCGCTCCGCGATGCCGCGTTGCTGTGGCGGCTGGAGTGCGCCGCAGTGGGGCGCCATGGCTGATTGCCTGGGCCTCCGACCAGCACTGGTCGGTGGCCATCCGCAGAGAGTTCTCCAAGCTCGACGTCGAGGGCTCAGAGGACCTCGCAGGGTGCTCCACTGGCGACGGAGGCCTCCCGGCAGTCCAGGGCCTCGCGTCCGCATGGAAAGCCGTGCAGGTCCACTGCCGTGCCGGCGAGGTTGCCAGGGTCCTTCCAGTCATGCCGAGCGCCGCCAGGTGCCGCCAGGCTTGCTCGTGCACTTCATGCCGAGCGCCGCCAGGTCGCTTCGCTTCCTCGGCCTCGTCCCCCTCGGAATCCCCTGCGGCTTCACTGGCGGCCTCGTTGCGTGCGCCCCGCCACGGATGGTGCGAAGCAGCAGGTCGTCGATGCCGATGCCAGAGAGACAGGCGGGCCCGGCTCGAGGTCGCGCAGGAGGCCGTCGCCCTCGCGGCTTCGTGGAAACACCCTGGATCGTTCGGGTCCCGCGTCGATGCTGCCCCAGGCGCACACTGACAGACCCGTATTGACCAGAAGGCTGCTGCCATTACCGTGTTTGGCGAGGGCAGTCCGAAGAGCTCGTTGCGGACTCGGGCAGCTGTTTCCTCGTCGGCGGGGTTCTCGTCTTCGGCATGGACGCCTTCGTCCTCAGCAGTGCCGGTCTTCATTGAGAAGAGCCGGCCACGTGGCGCCGTTGTCCCCAGGTCGATCTTCAATGACGTGGTTTGGATGGTTCGGCACCTCGACGCTCCGAAGGACGTTCTTCCAGCAGTTTGTCCTCCCGTTCGTCAGGATGCTGTCGAGGAGGCTCCTGTGGAGCCCGTGGAGCCCGAGGTCGTGCTGTGGCTCGAGACGAAGGTCGAGCACACTTTCGGCAAGGCTGGGGAGCCCCTCTGTGAGCTGCATATGAGCGTCGCTTTGCTGACGCTCCTACTGTCTTTTGGGGCGCTCAGGGGCCGGCATGTCCAGAAGTCCAGCGTCATCGGCGTCACCAGTGGCAGTATTTGGGGCCTTTGCTCGCTCGCCCGGCTCGCTCTGGTGGCCAGCGTCGGTCATTCAAGTGGAGGGCGCCGCGGTTAGGCTTGACTGGGGTCGACTACGGTGGCGAGATCGCGAGGCGCTTCGAGTGCACACGTTCTGCGTGCGGCAAGCCTTCGAGCTTTCTCTTCACGTCGGCCTCGAGGCGCTCGCGGCCACTAGCGCCCATCACTGTTTCAGCTTTCAACTGGGCGATCACCACTATCATCGCCATGAGCGGCTCTCCGGTTAAAGTCGCAGGGACTATTTCGTCGTATTCTTTTCGACGGTGGCTCCCGACCTGGGCGGATCTCCAAAGGTTACCAATAGAAGAGCGTCAGGCCTTGGGCAATTGGCGTGAGATGCCCTCAGCGGCCGTCGGTCGCGATGCCACGGCTGCCTCTTTCTCTTCTTCCATGGGCCTCCGCTATTCTGGCCGCAAGGACGACTCCGCCGAGGTGGTGAAGCTGGAGCAGCTCTTCGCCTTGCGGCTGGCAATAGTTAGCCTTGGCCCTTCTGTGCTGGTCACGTGGTCGTCCCTCCGCGGCGCTATGCCCGACCGCGCCGCCGTGGAGGCCCGCGTCGCAAAGGTGCGGCACGAATCTGGCGAGTTAGTCCTCACATCTGTTGGGCGTGCGATGAAGGCTGCTCTGCGGCGCGTTGAGGTGGTGCGCACCGCCGTGGTGGAGGACGCCATCTCGGAGGTCGTGCGCCTGTCAGCGCTGGGCGCGCCAGGTTCGACGTGATCGAGAGCGCCTGCTCCGTTTACTTCCTCTTCTTCTTGCCCCTCTTGTTCCTCCTCGTGAACACCATGGGGAAGACCCTCCGCCACCCGCCTCGCAAAACGAGCACAGGCAGCCAGGGGTGAGTGAGCCTCTTTCCCAGAGAGGCGGCCTGAGGGACTCCGAGGCTGTGGCAGCTCGAAGTCCCTCGGTGCAGGGTTGCCTTTCCGTCACCCGCCTCGTTCAGCGAGCGCCAGTGGCGAAGGGGCGACTGTGCTTCCGCTCGATTCGCGCGAAAGCACCTTCGACGCCTCCCCCGGGGGGCGGTCTGAGGGACTCCGGGGTTCGCTGCAGCCCGAAGTCCCTCGGTGCAGGGTTGCCTTTCCGTCACCCGCCTCGTTCAGCGAGCGCCAGTGGCGAAGGGGCGACTGTGCTTCCGCGCGATTCGCGCGAAGGCACCTTCGACGCCTCCCCCAGGGGGCGGTCTGAGGGAATCCAGGGCTCGCTGCAGCCCGAAGTCCATCGGTGCAGGGTTGCCTCTTCGTCACCCGCCTCGTTCAGCGAGTGCCAGTGGCTAAGGGGCGACTATGCTTCCGCGCGATTCGCGCGAAGGCGCCTTCGACGCCTCCCCCGGGGGGGCGGTCTATGGGACTCCAGGGCTCGCTGCAGCCCGAAGTCCCTCAGTGCAGGGTTGCCTCTTCGTCGCCCGCCTCGTTCAGCGAACGCCGGTGGCGAAGAGGCGACTGTGTTTGGCGGGTCTCGCCGCAGCCCGACTGCTAGGCGACTCCGAGCGCTTCGTGCTCGAAGTTCCCTCTGTGCTTTCCCTCCACCCCCCCGCCTCGCCCAGCGAGGCTGGCGGTGAAGGTGTTTTTTGCGCCGCCGCGAGTCTGCATGGCACGACGCGCGGGCTGTTCGGGCTAGCGCCTTCGACGTGCAGACGAGGGGCCGACTGACTTCCCCTCTCGCTTGCACGCGCCTCTGCGAGGAAGGTAGAACAGTTCGTCAGACGCGCGCTTCCGTCGCCTCCTGCCAATCGGTGACCAAGGGCGCCCTCTGGTGTCCCTGTGAGGCTCCGGTCCCTGGTGCTGTTTTGGGCCCTTGGCCGCCCCCAGAAAGGCACCGGCCTTCTGTTTACCTCCTTCGCACATTCGCACTCCTCCTTGACGTGCCTTCGGTTGCCGACGCGAGCAGTAGTCCGCGGCCATCTGGTCTCAAGGAGGTGTTGTGCGCACCGCTGTCTTCACTTACGCTCACGCGATGTCGCTCCCTGCCACTTTCGCGGAGCTCCAGACCACTTACAAGCGCCATGAGGATGTCATCAAGTACTTAACGGACGCTGAGCCTGCTGGGCTGGGATTGGAGACTATGGCGGACTTTGCGGACCTGTTCGCGTCCGAGGCTGAGGTCCAGGCTATGCTCAGTAAGATCGAGTCCTGTCGTGAGTCGTCGCGCCAGTTATCTCGGATCCGTCAGGCCTGGCGGGGCGTCAAACGTCTTCGCCTTGAAAGGCACGGACAACGACGACCTGGACAAGCTCCTCGACCGGCCGGCGCTGGACGACCTCGCCAAGGTGTCCTGGAAGCGTTACCGGAACGCACGGCCTCCAGACGTGATGCCCAGCGACCAGATCATCAGCCGGATCTACCGGGAGCTCCCGCTTCGCTTGTTTTCCGTGCGCGACGCGTGGAGAACCAAGTGCTTGGCTGACCAGCTTCGCTCGTCGCGAAGATCAATCGCAGTGCCCGAGGGCGCAGAGCTCGGGCTGCCTGGGGACAAGGGCGAGGAGCGCGGGGGCCCTACATGCCCCTCCTCTGGACGCTGCTGCTCGCTAATGCCATTGTGGGTGCCCGGCCTCGGGACCCGCCGCCTGGCAACAGGCCCGCTGCAGAGGATTCGGTCGACGACAGCATCCTATTCATCGAGTGCCCCCTGGACGTCCTGGAGAGCTACTGGCGCCGCGCCGACCGCACTGCTCGCGAGGTCCCCTACAAGCTCCGCCTCGCCTGGGCCACCAAGCGGGACACTGGTGAGAGGACCAAGTGGGTTGAGCGGTACAGTGCGTCCAAGAACACCCTCGGGGCCACCGTCAAGACGATCTTCGTGGAGCGCGAGGCCTGAGCCGCCGGCGAGGGAGCCCGCGCGCGCTCGTTCGCGCTCGTCGCCCCCGTGGGCCCGCTCGTCGCGTAGTAGAGGCTCGCCGCGGAGATGGCAGCGATCGCGCCGACGCGTGCGGGCGCGACGCGGCCGGGGAGCAGGGGTGCCGCGCTGAGGGCACGATCCCAGCCTGCGAGAAGTGCAAGGGCCAGCGCCCGTGCACCGATTGGAACGTCACCGGCTGCACGAGCCCGCGCAGACGGCCGGCTCCGCGCCCGCGACGCCGCGGCTGCGTCTGGTGGCGCCTGCGGCGGGAACCAGAAGCGCCCGAACTGCCTGGACCGCCTCCCGAGAAAGTGAACTCTCTGGGGGTGGCCCCCGGAGCGGCGGCGCTGTTCGGCGCCCGGGGCGCCTGCTTGCGGCCGCGTTCTGTTCCTGCTGCGCCTTTCGCCAGGGAGGACGCTGCAGTCGAGGACCTGGGGGCAGGCCGATTTTCCAGGAGTTCTTCTCGGGCGTGGGTTTTATCCTCAGCCAAAGGTTCGAAGCTTTTAGTTGGATCGTGCTGCCGGCGGTAGCTTGGGCGCCCTGCTCAGAGTGCGGCGCGACTTCCGACGAAGGACGGAATGCTCTTTTCAAGGTGGTATCCGACGCGGCCCGCGTCCCAGACTTCTCATGGTTTGGCGTCAGCAGATGCATTTTGGGCGTCGCGGACAACGCCTGCGCGATCTCTGAGGTGATTATCAACGCTGCGGAGGTCTTTCTTGAAAGGGGCCGTGGCTTCTGCGAGGGTGATTCCGATCTTTCTGGATTGAGGCAGCTCCCCGAGCAGCAGCGCCTCGCCGCGCGGCCAGATGAAGATGACACTCGCTACTTCTCGCGCTCGGCGAGGCCAGGCGAAGGCGCGGCGCCTCCGCCAGTGCGCCGAGGAGTTGTTGTCTGCGCGCGCCGAGTGCCACCGCGTCCACGCCGCGGACCAATGGAGCGACCCTCAGGCTTTGCAGCAGGAGCCCGCCTACACCGCGCGCCTCGCGGTCGCCGCGGCTTCTTCGGCCACGCGCTGGGCGATCCGCATCCTGCAGCTGTGCTGGGATTCTCCTGTGCTGCCTCAGCCGGCCTGTCACGGTCGAGTGCGCGCCCACGAAGATCCTCCTGCTGTTCGATCTCATGCCCTACCTGCGGCTCTCGCAGAAGTTGACCTCGAGGCGCCGGGCGCCATGGGCAAAGGCGCACGCCTGGTCTCGGCCAAGCACCTCAGAAAGGGCGCCTCCTGGCAGCGCGTACACGGGTAGAGGCTCCCCGAAGTTTGGCCTCAAGATGAGCGATTCCTGCAACCCCTTCCGCGATCGCATCGCGGTCGTCGCCAAGCTCAGGTCTTGGATATGCCGGCAGCCCGCTCTACTTGGGCGGCGCTTGCCTGAGCTCGGTGGACGCCTGCTCCAGTGCCGTTCGTGCTGGTCGACGTCGACATGCAGTTTGCCTGTTGGCTGACCGTCAAGCACCGCCATAATCTACGTCTTTTTCGCGAGCGCCGTCTTCAAGATATTCGTCATCTCGGTAGACGGCTCGGCCCTCTTCCTGCTGCTCTCCGGCGCCGTTCCCACCCGTCGGTTCGGCGCGTGGCAGGCGGCGCGCCCTTGGCCCTCGAGGCGGTTTTGGCACTGCTCGCATCGTGGCCAGACGTGTCCTTTCCCAGGTTCCACTTTGAGGGGTTCCTGATCATCGACAGCACTGCGAGCCCTGGTATTTTTCGCCTTTCGGGGGCACGCCGAGGCCGTGGCAAGGAGGCGCCGTTGGAGTCCAGCGAGTCGTGGGTCGATTCGCTTTGCCGCCGCACCGCATGGTCCGAAAACACCCAGTTCATCTTCGACGCGACGTGCGAGGAGGTCGGCAACTTCGCCAGTGTTCTGCGTTCTCGTTCCTTCATGGGCTCGAAGGTCGGCAAAGGGCGCTAGTCTGCAATGTGGCGCTTCGTCGTCGTCCAGCCAGGCGGCAAGCGTCGCTGCTGCGACGATGCTCGCAGGGCCGGCCGCAACGAGGCTTCGCAGTCTGCAGACAGGATTCACATATGCTCGGCCTTTGCGCCGTGCGATGCCGCAGTCGCCCTGCTCACGGAGGCGGAGGCCCAGCACGTCAACCTCGCTAGCGAGGGCATTTTGGTCGAGACTGGCGGCTAAGATTTGCCCGGCGCGCACCGGTGCGTGACCGCCCTCCCCGAGGACGCGAATGTCTCTGTGGTGGCCATTCGCCATGCTGCACGCCAGGAGGTTGTTTTCCAGGAGCTCTACGGCCTCGCCTTCGGCCTCTCGGAAGCTGCGCCAGCATTCAACAAGAAGCCTTTCCTTAATACAGCGTTGGTCAGGCGCTTCCTGCGCGTACTCTTGGACATGTATTTCGATGACGCGAGCGAGATAGACTTGAGTTCGGCCAAAGGGTCTGGCCAACACGTGGTATCCGAGCACTTCTCGCTCCTCGGATCGCCGCTCAAGCAGTCCACGCGCCATCCTATGGGCCCCGTTCGTGATTTCCGCGGCTTGGTTCGCGACTTCTCTTCCTTCATGTCCGACGGGGAAATTCGGGTCTCTGTTCGCAAGACTCTCAAGGCTAAGGTGCACGCGCGCATCGGCGAGGCCCTTGCCACCGATTGCCTCGCGCCTGGCGTCGCCTCGAAGCTGCGCGGCGCCCTCAATTTCAGCTCGGCCGCCTGCGCGGGGAAGGTTGGCAGGGCTGGCCTCTCCGTTTCGATTGGGCGCCAGTGCGAGAAGAGTTGCGTCGATTTCAAGCTGACGCCGAAGCTGCGCAACGCGCTCATCTTCTTCAAACGTCTCCTGGACGGGTACTTCGCTTGCCACCTCCGGCAAGCTGGCTATCGCGGCCCGCCTGTGGTGGTGGCCTCGGGCGCGTGTTTCGACGCTTCCTTCGCTGGCACCGCTGTCCTGGCCGTCTCTGGAAAGCTGCGGCGTGCAATTGTTGCCCCGGTCAGTGAGGAGCTGTTGGGGTTTTGGGGGTTCCCACAGCATCCGCGGTCCTCTTCGCTTCGATCCACTCGCACATCACCGATGCCCTCGTTAACCGCGACATCATCTGGTTCATAGACAACGCCAGTGCACTTCGCTGGGCACGCCTGGGGGCGGGGATCTACTTCGAATTCGTGCCGTCCGGGGCGAACTGGAGCGACGGCGCGTCCAGGTACCTAGAGGGCGATGAATTCCTTGCCGCGGCCGGCTTCGCAGTCCAGCGCGTGACCACCGCGGAGCTCAGCGAGGCGCTGGCGCGCGGCGGCGTGGGGGAGTAGTGGAAGCGACGGCTCATACATTGGGAGCTGTTCTGCGTGTCTCTGGGGGCTTGCTTCCATGGGACTAGGCTCTGAGACCCCTCGTGTCTCTGAGCCCCCTCCGCTTCGGGCGGCGAAGACCCTCGATGATCTGCCTCGGGTCTCCGGCCGCTCTCTCTGGAGGGCAGCGCTGCTTCCCAAAGACGCGCCTGGCCGAACAACTCTGGTGTGGGGCCTTGGAAAAAATGCTGTGTAAGCTTTCTTGTCCATCTGAGCCTGCCCAAACAAAATGGTCAACGTGCCTGAGTTGTGGTCTGAAGCGTGAAGCGTCCCATGGGAGACACACCTGGGGGTGCCTGGGTTGTGGGTCGGCGCCGTGGGGGCCAGCTGGCTCCCTCGGTCCTTGTTCTTGCAATGCGTCCCCCGCGCCCCCCTGGGCCGCGCACATGCCGCCGGCCATGATTCTGATTTGCGCCCTTCCCTGTTGAACGCCCCCCTCTTGGACGCCCCCGAAGCTTGATCCCCAGGGGCAGGTGGAGGCGCGGTGGCTTTCCAGAACGATTTCGGGTGCGCGGCAAGCTGTCCGCGTAAGTTGTCCGCGTAAGCGTCTTCGTTTCACATGAAGCGTGCCGCGCTGGCGGCACGCGTAAGCCGCGGCGTAAGGTCGTTGTGTCGCGTAAAACCCGTTTCTGATCGTCGTTCGGATGGTCATGGGGTGGGGCGAGGGGGTTCCCAGGCCTCCCAGGAGGGGGTCCGAGCAGGTGAGGTCGGAGGGTCGCGCCGCGTCGCCGATGCGTCGGCGGTGCGGCTCGATGTGGGGCCCGATTTTCTCCACGCCGCCGCCGCCGCTGCATCGCCGACGTCGCCGACGCATCGCCGATGCATCGGCGGTGCCTCGGCGGTGCCTCGGCGATGCGATGTGATCCTCGGACCCCATCCATTCGGACCCTAATTCAGTGACGGAAGAAACGGGAGCGTCTTCACCGACATTGGCGCGCAAGCTGCCCGCGTCAGGTCGCGCGTGAGCGCCCTCGCTTCACCGTGGCGTGCCGCGCGTAAGCCGCGGCGCAAGGTCGCCATGCCGTCTCGCGTGAGGCCGGTCTCACTTCGTCGCCTAGCCGCCGCCGCGACGGATGCGTGGATCGACGTGGCCGCAACATCATCGTGGCATGAGTTGGATCAGTGGTTTGTGGATCCGGAGTGAGCCTGATGGCAGCGACCCGTGCCAGCAGCACGCATCGGCCGCCTTCTTGGAGGCGCTCCGGCCCCGCCCCGCCGAGTCCCCTCGCGTGGACACTTCTCGCGTGGACGCCCAGATGAGCCCCCGCTGGTCTCTCCACGCGTCTTGGCCTTGCTGGGTCGCCGACGCCAGAAGAGGTGGTGAGAAGTGTTCGTGCGTGTCACGTGTATAGTGTTGTTCGCACGGCTCCTGACGCTGGCCCTCTCGATTCCGAGGCTGCCAGAGGCCGCTTCCACGATACTGTCCGCAGGGCTACACAGGCCCTGGTAGACCACTCTCGAGCGCCCGTCTAGGCTTAGTCGGACGTTCCGTGATCGTCACTCAAGGTACGAACGACTTCTCGCAGACACCGTCACCGTCACCGCCTCCCTGGAGTGCCTCTCGCGGGGGGTCGGGCTCGGGACTCGGCCCGCGAAGGACACCGCCACGATCCAGGGGAGCTGCGCCGCCGACCAGGCCTCGTGCGAGAGCTGCCGCGGCATCTGGTGCGCGGGCTCGGGCGGCACCGCGCCGGCGAGCCCGACGGCGGCCCCCACGCCTGCGCCGGCGCCGGCTCCGACGGCTGCCCCGACGAGCGCAGGAGGCGCCTCGAATGTGGGCCAGTGTTGTTCTGGGCTCTTCGAGTACCCATACCTCTACCCTTCGCCCGTTTTCCCCTGTCTGGGCCTCTTGGGCGGCCCTCGTCGCCACCGCTGGATTCGCATCGAAGTTCTGGTCCGAACGCACCTTGGGAGAGGTCCGGGGAGTAGCGGTATCGGTACTTCTTGGTTTTCCCACAGGAGGCGCCTCGAATGTGGGCCAGTGTTATTCTGAGCTCTTCGCGTTCACCGCCCGCCCACCCTGGGTGCTCGCCGGACGAGCCAGGGACGGCCCCGAGGCGGGATGCAGACGTGCAAGGGACACTGAAGGGCCCCTGCGCAGATGCGTGCTCTACCTCTTCCTAGTCTCCATGCTCTCCAATTCCGTCGTAGATTGGACTCCGATATGCCGTGTGGCTGATCTAAGGTTAGATTATCGTTTGATCGTCGGTCCGTCATCGGCTGCACCACATCAGTCATTGTCAAAAAGAGGTTTGCTCTTTGAAACCTTGCTACCTGTCCATAGAAATAGTAGACAAGAGATGACCAGAGCGCGGCCCAAAACGTTCTCCAGACGGCCCGAAAATTGCCCACGAGGCGCCAAAAACGGCCGCAAAGGGCCCCGTGATCGGCGAACAAAAAAGATCCCCAGATGTGCCCGACGGGGCCCAGGATTGTGTATTTCTTGAACAGCTCATATGTAACGGTTGAAGATGGCTTGCAAGAGGGTCAGGCTGGCCGTTGCCGACCCCAGAATCGGAGACCTGATGGTTTCCCGTATGATCTCCCGTGTTGTCCTTCATGGTCTCCCCGTATGGTTTCCTGTATGGTATCCCGTATGGTTTCCTGGGGGGGGCCGTTGTCAGCCTCGGATTCGGTGACGTGATGGTTTCCCGTATGGTTTCCTGTCTGGCCTCTCTCTCTCTCTCTCCTGTGTGGTCTCGCGCACTCTCTCCGGTATGGTCTTGCGCATGCTCTCCCGTGGGGGTTGTGCGGTGCAAATCGGTCGATGGTGCAATGAGCCGCGTGGTGTAAGTCGTGTGGTGCAAGTCGTGTGGGGTGCAGAAGCCGCGTGGTGCGAGCCGCACAGTGGAAGCTGTGTGGTGCAAGCCATGTGGTGGAGCCGCACAGTGGCCGCTGTGCGGTGCACTCTGTGCGGCCGCCCAGCGCACGAGGCGCCCACGGGCGCCCGCGGGCGGGCGCCAGACGAAGCCTTGGTAGACCCGCCCAGCGCACGAGGCTCCCACGAGGCGCCCACGGGCGCCACAGCCGAGACCCGGCACACAGATCCAACTCTTGTGGGAACCCAAGCAAGAACTTTTGAGTGCAAGCTTTGCTTGGGGAGTAATATCGAAGTTTCCAACTTGTCGGCGAATTTGTGCCGACGAGACGTTTTGTGGGACCCAACGAGCCTATCTTGGAGGCAAAGAAGCGGCCCGCGAGGGGTCAATGTGTAGCGAGCGTAGGTTTTGAAAGTTTGTTGTTGTTGATGATGATGCTGATTATGAGTGGTGATGATTAGAATGGTAATAATGTGGAGCTCGTTCTCGTCTTAGACGCTGTCTTGTAGCCGTCGTGGGCCAAAAAGGGTATGGGAGCAAATGAGAGGAGGAACGATGGAACCTCCCAGGAAAGAAAGGGGGCTAAAGCCCTGAAATGATCGTTCGAAGTCAAATCCCACACGCCCCTCAGCCTGGAAGGCAGGCGAATTCGAAAGGTTTGCCTTGCACCATCCTGCCGATTCCCAGAGGGAGGGCAAGGGGAGGAGGACTTGGCGGACTTGGAGGAGGAAGAGGAGGAGGAGGAGGAGGAGGAGGAGGCGGAGAAGGAGGAGGAAGATGAGGAAGAGGAGGAAGAGGAGGAGGAGGAGGAGGAGGAGGAGGAGTAGAAAAGAGGAGTAGGAAGAGAAGAAGGAGAAGGAGGAGGAGGAGGAGAAGGAGGAGGAGGAGAAGGAGGAGGAGGAGGAGAAAGAGGATGTGAAGGATAAGGAGAAGGACTGGTGACAGGCGGCGAAGGATGAGGAGGAGGAGAAGGAACAGGTGCCCTCGTTGGGGCCGCCTGGGGGAATTATTGGGATTCCCTCTTCGGTTTTCTTGGGGCTCTCCTGGGGTCTCTTACAGGGGCCGTCTTGTAGCTGGGCCGTCTTGCAGAATCTTTTGGTCCGTCTCGGGGCGACGTCGCAGGCTGGCCGGGAGCCTTTGGGGCCATCGTGGGCCATTTTGGTGCGCTCTTGGAGGCCTCTTGGGCTGTCTAGGGGCCTCTTGTTGGCCTCTCGGGGACATCGGGAGCTCATCTTGGGGCCACCCTAAGCCCAATGATCTATAACAGCATGGGGAATGCCCCTAACACACAACACACAATACACAACCTGCAACACACAGCACACAACACATAACACACAAACACACAAGCACAAGCACAAACACAAACACAAGCACAACCACAACCACAAACAACAACACAAACACGAACACAAACACACCCACACACACAACCTCACACACATTTATATATATATATATATACACATATGTATATAGACATACATATTTATATGAGGGTGTGGGGGAGCAGGGCGTCGCGGCCACGCGCGCGGCGGCGCGGCGTAGGTCAAGTCAGGCGGGAACGCGCGGGCCGGGCCAGCTAACGAGGCGCGAAAAAAGCTGGATCCACCCACAGGGACCGTGCACTGTATGAGATTACCACGTACACGCGCACACAAAATGATTACCCTGCGACGTACCCAGCCCCTCGGAACCAAGGATAATTAACCTGGCGAAGGACTCAACCATATGCAGTTGTGAGTATCGCAATTGTGCAAATCGTCTTTTGTGGCGCTCCCTATGGGGCCACGAACCGCATGAGGGGCGTGCCGAAATGTGTGGCGAGGTACACAGCACGAACGAAGACGATAGGTTTGAGTACGAGAGACTGAGAGCGGGTGAGTCTGAGCGCGAGTGAGTGTGATTGTGAATGAGTCTGCGTGCGAGTGAATCTATATGCATGAATGCGAGCATGGCTGCACCCAGTGCAGATGCATATGAATGTGAACGGTTTGGGTATGCCTGGCTCTGAGTACTCGTGGCACTGGGTGTGGCTGCCACAGGGAGTTCCTCTGGAAACCACGATGGCAGCGCCCGCGCTGGGCACGCCCCTCACGAGGATCACGCCCGCTTCCTTACCTTGTTTTTCTTCCTCTTTGCGCCTGCACTCAAAGGTCCACGGCTGCAAGCGAAGCGCAGCGCGGAGTCAACGCGACGCGCGCCGGTCGCCCCGAAGGGGTCCCAGCGACGCGCGCGGGTCGTCCGCTGCGCGGAGCAACTAGCTGGCTGGTGGCGGGCAGGGATCCAGCCGCTGGACAAAGCGACGACGGGCGAGCGAGGCGCTGGGCAGAGCGCCGTGCGGAGTTCCCGCGGCGCGCGCTGGTCGCCCCGAGAGGATCCCAGCGACGCGCGAGGGTCGTCCGCGGCGCGGAGCAAAGAGAGCTAGCTGGCTGGCTGATGGCGGGCAAGGTCTGGCCGTTGGGCAGAGCGACGACGGGCGAGCGAGGCGCTGGGCAGAGCGCTGCGCGGAGTTCCCGCGACGCGCGCTGGTCGCCCCGAGAGGATCCCAGCGACGCGCGAGGGTCGTCCGCGGCGCGGAGCAAAGAGGGCCAGCTGGCTGGCTGATGGCGGGCAAGGATCTGGCAGTTGGGCAGAGCGACGACGGGCGAGCGAGGCGCTGGGCAGAGCGCCGCGCGGAGTTCCCGCCACGCGCGCTGGACGCCCCGAGATGGTCCCAGCGACGCGCGAGGGTCGTCCGCGGAGCGAGGCCAAACAGTTGGGCGGACGAGAGAAGGCGCGGCTCGGGCGGGCCGCTCCTCAGGTCAAGCTTCGCGGATATACTCAGTGAAGCCCAGCTCCCTGGCGAGGGCCGTCGCCTCCCTCCTGCGCCCCCCCCGTGCGCGCCGCAAACTGCCCCAGCCGCTTCCGCAGGCCCTCTGGCGGCCCTGCCAGGAATAATTCGATGCGCGGTGCCCGCATGAGCAGGAGGTCCTCGTGGCGGGTGGCGCGCGAGAGCAGCGCATAGAGCTCCAGCCACCAGTCGTCGTCCTTCTTCTTACCGTTCCCGACCTCATGGCGGCCGCAGTTTAGGATCGCGCTTGGGCGACGTCGACCGAGGAGGCGGCGCGCCGGACAGCCGTCGGTCGTCATCGGCGTCGTCGGTCGTGTTCCGTCACCGTCGTCGGTCGTCGCCGTCACCGTCGTCGCCGAGTCGCGGACGTGGTGCCGACAAGGTGACTCTTATGGCGGACGGCTGCGTCGTTGTCGTCGCCGTCGCCGTCGTTATCGGCGTTATCGGCGTTATCGTCGTTATCGTCGTTATCGTCGTCGCCGTCGCCCTCCTCCTCCTCCTCCTCCTCCTCCTCCTCCTCCTCGTTCTCTTCCCCGTTCTCCTCTTCCTCCTCCTCCTCCTCCTCCTCCTCCTCAGGTTACGTGCGCTCCTCCTCCTCCTCCTCCTCCTCCTCCTCCTCCTCCTCTTCCTCTTGGATGACCGACATCGGTTCAAAGTCGGTCCCCGGACCCTTGCCAGGGCCCACCCGATGCAGTTTGTCCACCCCTGATCAATATCTGACGACCTTGGGGCCTGAAGACAGCTTCCAGAGGCCGAGAATGACGAAACGCATCGTCGAACCACGAAGTTCGAAGTCCAGCGAAAGAATCGCGGGGGGAACCCACCCGACGTCGTCGCCGGACGACGCGCACAGACGTCGGTGCGATCGCGCAGGTCGCGCACGCGCATGCGCCCCTGCACTTGCAGTAACGAGCAAACGACGAGCCACTGGGCCAGCGACGAGCGAACGACGAGCCCGGCGCAGGACGAGCAAGCGACGAGCGAGCGCCGCGAGAGCGGCGATCGAGTCACGGCGCCGCCGCTGCACATCGCACATCCTCACAGCATCAGCCCCGACACCTCATAATATTGAGACAACGACAACAAACGGAGGCCGCCGAGAAGGCGACTTGAAACTCCATCCGCTAACGTC